TACATCAGCCCGTCGCGTGACGGACGGAGAGCTCCGCGGAGTGCTCCGCCGCCTCAACCCAAAAAAATTTTGCGGCCCTGACGGCATCACTGTTGCCCACTTGAGATCCGTTGGTGACAAAGGGGTTGAATTTTTCCTGGCACTTTTCAATGCCTGCCTAGCACAAGGATGTATCCCGCGCCCGCGGAAAACAGCGAACATCTGCTTAATACCCAAGTGCGGTAAGAGCCTCTTCCTGCTGAGTAGTTATAGACCCATTAGTCTACTCTCGCTCCTAGGAAAGACTCTAGAACGCCCCATACTGGTGCGCTTGCAGCAGGAAATATGGCGTTTAGGTCTCCTCCGAGACGAACAATTCGGGTTCAGAGCGGGCCATAGCTCCGCGCAGCATCTGACGCGCTTCTGCACCGAGATCGACCTCTCTCTCGAGAGGCGGCAGAATCTGCCTACCGTCTTCCTGGACATGCGGTCGGCCTTCGACACTGTGGCATGAGGAGGCTCTTATGTCTCGAGTTAGGGATAAGCGACTGCTACACCAGGCTGATCGGTAGTTTTCTCACAGAGCGAACGTTCAGAGTGCGAGTTAACGGCGTACAATCGTCCCTAAGACGCACCGTGGTGGGAGTTCCACAGGGGAGCGTGCTCTCCCCCACCCTCTTCGGCTTGCACCTCAATGATGCGCCTCTGCTAGCAGAAAGGAGAACGGGAATTCAGCGTTGCGGGCTCGTGATGATCGCGGACGACTTTGCGTATTACGTGAAATCGGCGAACAGCAAGCAAGCAGTGAGGTACCTGAATGAATGCCTCGCCGCCTTTCCCACCTGGCTACGCCAGAAACGCCTGACCCTAAACCTTGAAAAATGCGTGGCCGTTTACTTCACCCGTCAGAGGACAGACCCCGAGGAAACAGTGTTGCTCGCGGGCGTGCATCTCCCTTGGTCCCCAAGCGCGAGGTACCTTGGCGTGACTCTAGATCGTGGCATCTATTGGCACAAGCACGCCAAGGACCTTCGCCACAAAATTTTTCCGAGGACCTCCCTCTTACGTTCCCTCCTTAGCTCCCCGGACCTGTCTCTCTCGCCGAAGCGTCTCCTTTTCACCGCCTGCATACGCAGTTTATGGACGTATGCTTGCGAAACCTTTGCGGCAGCGCCGGTCTCGACCTTACGCCCGATTTGGGCGGCCGAGAACCGAGCGGTACGGACCGCCACGCGGCCGCATCTCCCTCTTCCTCCTCCTCCTAACCGCCACCATAGGAACAGTGTAACCTACGGGGCCTTGGGCTTGAGTCGTCAGCTGCCGGAGGAGATCCGCCGGAGGGCACACGGCGCTCACGCGGGCGCTTGGCCCGAAAGCTCCGCGGCTCTTGAGCGAAACCGGCCGGGCGGTGAACTGTGAGGTCCACCGGACTATTTTGCGCCGACAGGGCCCAAGCAAGTCCCCTCCACGTTTCGTGCGCAGAACTCTGCGAGCAGCGGCGTGAGGCTCCCAGCGGGACGAGTGAGGCTCCGCGCGTAACAATTGCCAGGGCACATTGTGCCTAGCCGCCACGGCGCCGTAGCCCACATAGTGTAAATAGTGTTTTTAGTATGTATATAGTGCTGTGTGAAAGTGCGTGTGTCAAGTGTGAATAGAACCTAGTGTGAATGTGCGTGTGAATGGAAAAGAAGAAAAATCCAAGAAAACGGAAACAAATAAGCATGTAGTAAATACAAAGTCTTGTGCTAATCTTAGGTTGCCGGCCAAAGTGCCGGCTTCATCCATAGGTTAAGTTAGAAATAAGTTAGCAAGTAAGCACTGCCCCCTTCTTTGCCGCATAAGCCGAAGAGCTGCGGCGCATGTACCCCAACTCGAAAATAAACTCCCGCCTCGCCAGGGCTCCTGGCGGGGGGCAAAGTTGAAAAAAAAAACAGTGATAGTTCAGTCATACACACAGTACATGCATACGGACATACATACCCCGCATGTCAAAGACTTACAGTTTCAAAACTTTGCAATTTTCTCACGGCTATTCTATTCATCTGATTTACAGGATATACACATGGAACGATGCACATATCCTGCAGCTTGTATTTTCTCACCAAAGCAAAACTTTAAAAGAGAGTGACTTAGGGGTTTTCAAAATAACCGATTACAACTTGCAGCAATGTAAGTTAATAATGAATTGAATACATTTTAAAAAAATGCTTCTAATTGAATTTTTGATTTTAATTCGGCAAAGGACTTTGATCTATCTAAAAATATTTACGATTATTGTTGTTTAGTTATTGGTCTACAATATCCAATAATTCCAACTTGATATTGCCGTTAGAAACCATACAATAACGGCATCAGGAATGTGATTGCGGATTGATTCGTTGTTTTTTTAAATAAATTATGGATATTGTGAAACAATACTTTGTCTTCAATGATCAAATTGTGATACTGGGATACTACGGGGAAACTGCGATTGGAAATCTAGTACTTCAACCGAATATTATTTTCTCGTGTTCGATCCAATAAAGCAATTCTGAGTCAAATGCATAGTATTGAGAATGTTATGTAATGCAGGAAAAAGTGGGACCCTGATATCATAAAATGAATAAATCATGTTCCAATATGTATAGGAAATTACTTCCTCTAATGTGTTATATAGTGAGATTTCATTAATTGTGGGAGCTTAACACATATTTTTTCCAATCGTCTGTTCGTTTCTTCATCTGTGAACAAATCTGGCGTCTAAGCTATTCGTTTACATAATGAATATTCCCTAGTCGATCTGGCATGACTTGAACCTCTGCTTTAGAAAAATCTTTATTGGGAGTACTAAACATGAAGCCTCAGGGATGTTTTCAAAATTTTCTAAAAAATGTCTCCAAATATTTTTTAAATTTTATTGAAATAATAAATTGAAATGCACTGATAAACATGACGTAGGACCGTTTTTAACTGTTTTACGCTGAATTTTTAAAAAGTACAAGTTTTTTTTATTTCTCACCACAATACAATAATGTTTTTTTGCTTTAAAGAAATTTGTTCTCCATAACTAGTTCTTTCATTAACATCATGCATTTTATTCTTCAAACTTCTAGTGTTTTCGCGCAATATGCAGTGAAATATGTGCAATATAAAGAATGTCATAAAGAAAAATCGGTGTAACACGGTTCCATATATTTTTTCCTTAAACTTTTGAAAAGAATAGTGCTTAAAGTGATAAAATGAAATAAATGCCGTATTTTCGTATTTAAATTATTTTCTTTTATGTCTGCAGATGTAAATACTTTGAATTCTCTATCCAATAAAGGCAAAATAGAGTCTGACAAATATTGCTGAATTTGTATTTTTGTAATTTCTCGATTGCAATATTTTTAGATCTCCCTCAAGTCGCTAATATTGACATTACCGGCTCTTGGTATTCATTATTGCATTTGACAGTACACATGTAAATTATGTCTTGCAATGATTCTCGAAAACTAAAAACTTTGAACCACGAAACACTGAAGCTTTTCGTGATAGTCACAAAAATAATAATAAATATTTTCACTCTTGAGAAAGATGCGTGGCTGAACTTAAAAATATTTCACCATATTGCTGCTGATAACCAAAATACTTGTATAGGAAAATGACAATCCCGAACTAAGAAGACACACGTTCATTCTTCACTGTACACCTCTATTCCTCCACAATTACGTACACAGCACTTGCAGACCTGGACAAAAACTTCTAATTGTTGCTGCGAGAGCGAATTTTGAATGAATAATTATGGAAATAAATGTCGTCAGTCTGCGCAAACCATAGGGTACACAGAACGAGCAAATAGTATAAAGTAAAGGAATCTAAGCCTTCTAGGCGTGACGTCATAAATATTGCCGAAGGTTGAAATATAGCAGGCATTGGTGGTATCGATATGTGCCGAACCTGCCAAAATTTAATGGAATGTCCTAGAATATCTCATCCTATAGAATACAGTGAGAGAAACATTTCTATGCTATCAAATACGCATTCACAAGCGAGAGAACATTTGCTGCACGCGAAGTTAAGTTTCTTTTATCATGCGAATAGCTTAATTAGAACAAAATTATGGTACATTTAGTTTTTGTTTCATGCGTTTTTCTTGTGTGGGTATGCTAACTTAACGTTAAGTTAGCGTACCCACCTTTAGTGTTGAATATTCCGATGTTGCGCATCGTTTCAAAATTTTTGAATTTGGATATAAATTAATCTTTAATTAGGAGAAACTTTTGGTACATTTAGTTTTTATGTTTCATGCGTTTTTCTTGTGTGGGTATGCTAACGTAACGTTAAGTTACCGAACCCACGTTTAGTGTTGAATATTTCGATTTTGAGCAAATTTTCAAAATTTTCGAATTTGGGTATAAATTAGTCTTTAATTAGGAGAAACATCTGGTACGTTTAGTTTTTATGGTTCATGCGTTTTTCTTGTGTGGGTATGCTAACTTAACGTTAAGTTAGAGTACCCACATTTAGCGTTGAATATTTTGATGATGTGCATTAGAAGAAAATTTTTAAATTTGGGTATAAATTAGTCTTTAATTAGAACAAAATTCTGGGATACAGTTTTTCAATTTTGTGATAAGTGGGTATGCTACCTTTACGGACATCACGCGATCTGTGTTATTACTTACTACTATAACGCTCGTGGAGTAAAAGAAGAACGAAGTGAAGAGGAAGTTGAAAACATTTCGAGGAGGCTGAAATGTACGTTTTATTGAGCACATGCTTTTACAATGAAATTACATTATTATATTACATCGAGATTATATTGCTGTTGTTTTTTACTTAGATTGAAAGAGAAGTCGGTGTTCAGAGTTCGCAGTCGCTGATGGAGGGCAGGGTGACGCCCTGGCAGTGGTTCTTCCAACCGTACCAGGCGTTGAAGCCCTGGCGGCTGTAGATGAGCTTGGCGCACCTGATGTCGTCAGTGATGTCAGTGTTCAAAAGGGCTGCGCAGACAAATCGATTAAGAACGTTAATGTTGTAAGAAACTGTCATACTGTTGTCATGCAAATTTAAGAACATTAATGTTGACTTTCTAGAAAAGTACGAGAATGTACTAGTTTTATTTGAATGCTTTTATGAACTACATGGTGTTGAAGATTAATAGAAGATATTGATAGGATTTTTCATGTTCATAACATTTTTTAACTAAGAAGAGACTGATGCCTATGTCAACGTGAAGTGGAACGTATGCATTTACTTCAATTTATGAAGTAAATGTGTAAGGAACTTCATATCTCAGTAGAGACAATTTCAACCAAACAATTTGAAAAATAACAAATAGATGCTTCCCACTTCATTCAAACTTACAGAGCAACTTTGGAGCATCAAATGCCTCCGAATGCGTGTGGGGAGGAGTAAACAAAGCTTGTTATTTTTTATTAATAATTATTTTTCATCACACTTCTATTATAATATACAAAGAATAAGTTTAAACATTAACTTTGGCATTGCAAAAATGTAACATGAACTGTATTTTTTTTGCTTTAGTGTTTTAATCATTCTCAGAGGGTATCCAGTGGAAATTACTGAGTCACGTATCTGATCATTACGAAAAAATCTATTTTCAAGTAACAACTTCTTGATAACAATCAGAATTTGAAAATAAATTTTAAAATAATAAAACAAAACAAAATTTTGTTGTTTTAGGAAAGGTATACTATATTGAAAAAGACCATTGAGTTTCACTTAACGAATGCTCTTAGCTATTACCACTCTTGGCGCTGTTACCCTAACTCTAGATCAGGGTGTCCAAATGGTTGCCTGCCGTGCCATTTATTGTGGCCCGCGTATGGTTATTAGTCAAACGAGGAAGTCTCTTGCATCTATGTCGGGCGATAACACAGTGCGCCTAGCGCACGCGATGTGTAAGGGGTCAAAAGCCCCTTTAATATAAGAATTAGTGAAGTTTAGATTTAAGATTTTTTTCTAGGAAATCCAGAAATTTAAAACCATCGCAATGTGTTTCAATGCGTTATGGTCTGATATCACGCATGGTTCCATTCGCCCTTCCTGCTTCGTTTCAGAGCAACTGGGCAAACTCCGAGCCGAGATCAACAGTATGGGGTCACGTGTGGATCGCCCGAGTAATGGAAATGTGGCCCGCGACCACATTAACGTTTTCAGTTGTGGTCCTTGTGGCCTTGCGTGTTTGGCACCCATGTCCTAGATTATTTGCGAAAAGGTGATGCGACTGGCCCTGCACCTGCACCCGCCTACACAACGACACCTACGTACAGGCGTCGTACTATATCACCTTTACAACTAATGGTTGCATTCTGGAACATGCGCTGCTATATGATTCGCGAGCACGTAATGTAACACAAACAACTCGTTACTTCTACGCCTTACCCTCCATCTGCGCATATGATGACACATCAATATACCGACGCTGTTCCATTTTCACTTCTGGTACTTTTACTGAACATTGTCAGGAAACTTTTGAAAACGGTGACCCGATTTCCCGCAGGGAAGAACAATTGCCTTCGTCCCTTGCGTCAAAGATAAATGAAGGTTAAGGAACGCTGAACGGGTACTTACAAGAGCACATCAGTTCGCAGTCACCTCCCACAGCAGTCTCGCCACACCACCAAGTGTCGTTGATCTGTCAACAAAGAAGTGAATGCAAATGTCTGCAGGAGGTAGAAATCAGTACATCCAGTAATAGTTACCCCTTTATAGTTACCCCCCGATATAAATCAACTAACGTACGCGGTTAAAATTTGTAAACTGAGGCGATTGACAAAGTTTCCTATGACCAAACAAGTTTATTATTTGTGTTATTGACCTTGTGATTTCTCGTAATGCCTCTTCCCTATTAAAAAAAAACTTATACAAGAAATAAATACCTTGTGCATTCAGTAGAAATTCTCATGTGTCATATTTTGCCACAACGCATTTGTTGACATATTTCCTGATAGACAATGGCCAGTACTAGTAATTTACGACATAAGGCTTATTTAACGAGTTGACATGTTTGATGATTTTTGAAACAAGAAATGTACTGCCATAATGATAATAAATTTATGGGCTTACACGTGACCGTATGTCGCAACGTTCTTTATTTCTTACAATACTAGTGTGTCGCAGTTTCTTCTCTTGCTTTCATGTTTTGCGTATACGTTGTATAGAGAAAGTTATATAATGCTCCATAATCGGGTAGTACGGTAAATCCAGCCGACTTCTTGAACAGGACCTCTTGGCAGGTTCATCCAAGTGGGCGAACACTATGAAGGTGGATTTGAATTCCACGAGATACGAAAGTTTTTAAGAAACGTTCGCTCTTTTTCACCTTTACATCCTTTCCTCATCTAATCCTTCCGTAATGATGTGCACCTGAGTGTATCGATGCTAATTGCTATTTTTTGCAAAGTAGTCTGCTGTCTAATTGAATATCCGACCCGGAAATATGTGCAAAGGTGCGAGGAGGATTTCAGTCTCATTTATACGTAAATACTATCTTTTGTTTCGTGAGTTTCAGGAAAATTCAATATCATTACAATTATTGCCATTATTAGGAATTCTCGCATATCATCAGGTATTTATGTATAACTAGAGGAACCCAGCAAACGTTGTTCTGCCCTTCATCTTACTATATCTCCTTTCCTCTTTCGTTATCTCTCTGTCTCTCTCACCATCTCTCTCACTTCGTCTCTCTCTCTTTCGTCTCTCTCTTTCGTATCTTTCTTTCCGTCCCTCTCTGTCCATGTCTCAATCTGTCTATTCTGCCTCGTGTGTCTCTGTCCCTATCATATACATTTAGTTGCAGATTATATTCAAGGAGATCTCATCCTGTAGATTACGGTGTGAGAAACGTTTCTTTGAGCCATTTCGCCTCACAGTTTTAGTTTTTAATTCCATATAATTTTTCGTTTAAGAGTCATTTAACGATATAGAGTCTACAATCTTGCCAAATGTTGCGGGTATAGTTCTTTTTTCGTGAATTTTCCGTATATATTAATAGTTATTTTGTTATTCGGGGCGGAGACGAGCCAACAAAACAGAGATAATTAAAATTGGTTCAGCCGTTCTTGAGTTATAACTAACTCAACTTTGTTTTACTTGTATAGATAAATGAAATGTGCATCTTGCGTAGAAAATTAAGGCTTGTGCATTTGTAAATATTTATAGCAGAAAATTTATTGCTTAGTTCACGAATAATTAAGTATAAGAAAATATTGTAAATGTATTGCTTTTCTTCATAATTTTTCAGGTCTGATTATGATGATATGACTTGGTCAAAAGTACTTAAGTTAATAACGATTAAAATACTCCATGAAAGTTGACACATCTACTTCTTTTACCATCGAGAAGGTTTTTATGCTGTGTAATCAATGTTTTGAATGTTGTTGTAACTCCACTAGCTGGTACTGCAGCTCAAGATAACCCGTCGAGTAAATGCAATTCTTAATCCACCTGGGCTTCATTGTTGCTGGACTTTGCCGTGTGTCTTAGGACAGAGGCGAGCAAGACAAAATGAGCCTGCGGTGCGGGATAGAGAGATGAGGAGAGGGAAGAGGGGAGAAAAGAGAGAGTAAGATAGGGAAAATAATAAAAAGAGAGGAAAAAAGAGATAGGGGAAGACAGACCGGGGGAAGACAGAGAAGGGAGAGAGAGAGAGAGAGAGAGAGAGAGAGAGAGAGAGAGAGAGAGAGAGAGAAAGAGAAAGAAAGAGAGAGAGGAGGAAAAGTGAAAGAGTATCTGCCGGGTTCTGCTAGTTACTCGTTGATACGAAAGTATCACCATAAACAAGTGTGCATTTGTTTACGCATGTGTAGCGCAATTTAATTCCAGTTTACAGTTTTGATGTTATAATTATAAAGGTAAAGTCAAGCAAATGTTTAGTTGATCCGTTCTTTTGAGTCTTACCTGGAATATGCCGTTGTCTTTGCTTCCGTTGGTGTTGACGTTAATGGCAGCGGTGTTGAAAGAGCTCTCATGCTCGATCAGGCACAGCCCTGCGCAGGCAAACACAATTGAAGAAAATGGAGATGGCTGATATATAATTCTAATTTTTTTTGATATGAATTTTCTATCTATGGCAGATAAATTTCCATCCCTGAATTTGGCCAGTCCCGCCCCCTGGCTACCTAACGCGCCGCGAAACAGCCGGCTGCTCTGATCAATGGTTTTCCGTGATTTCTCCGATCAGCACCAGGCGAATGCCGGAGCAGTACCCTAACAAACGGGCCACGGACCGCGCGCGAACTTTCCTTCCTCTTCCTTGTCCTATCCGACCCTTTACACACACACACACTCGTGCACAACACCACCATGCATGCCGGCAGACCGGACGGGAGATTAAGAGCTTGTCCTCGCTGGGACGGTGCCCAATTGGTGGGAGATACCTTGTTAGGGAAAGCACCGCTAGCCAACGGTAGGTCGGCGCCGAATCTCGTCGTAAGCGGGCAGCGGGGGAGGATCACCGCCATCTCACGAGGAAGGAACATACACTACACTTAGGGGCAAATAACCTTAGCAGTTGACGCGCCCGGAATCACTAGTAATCGATCAATCTCACGCTTCGCGAGCTCATCCGGCATTCAGCTGCTCTGTGAGGAAGCCTCCGCTACATGTAGCACTAAGAACTTTATCGATGGCTGAAAGTCGGGTCATCGCCAGCTGTTTTTCCCCGCTGAATTATGCGGGTAAGACTTTCGAAGAGGGAAGCCGGTTACTAAGATACATCTCAACAGGGCGGCATGTTATGGGTTTCGGCAGATAATAGTTTTTTATAGAATACCTTGTTCTATTTAATAAGCCGTTAGATCTAAAATCTAAATTTAAAATTGTTTTAAACGGTCATTATATTACCTGCATGCTAATATTCACTCTCATTAGTCTTAAGGTTAATTAATTGTGCTGTGCTGAAGATTTAATTATTTCATTGAACATGTAATTTGCTACACCAGCTGGTGATAACACTAACAAAAATAGATCGTTACAAAATAAGCCATTCGTTCTTCAAAATCGAGATATTCACGTTTGCGAATAGTTGTAGGTTTGCTGTGGCTGGTGTGGTTTATCTTGTTACTGCCTCAGGTTACTCCTTCATACATAAAAAAATTATCTTTATTTTTGTATTCTACTTGGGTTGAAAGCTCACAGAATAAGACATTTCTTGCTATCACAAATGCTCTTAGTTGGTGAATAGTGTATATTAACTACAATTATCTAGATAGATGATAAATGTTTTAATTTATCGTTTTTTCGAGTTATACCAGTGTTGCGGAACATGAACGACATGTTAACATAGTCACCGTCATTTTAGAAATCAAGTGACTTCTAATTGTTTTAGAAAGTATGTTCGTTCTTCGATAATGGTGTGGTTCGAAATCGTTTCCATTTGTTTGTTGTTTTTTTACAAACATTAAGAGGATTTTAATAACCTGTACTTTAATTACTATTGTTGCATCATCGTAACGCAGTATAAAATTGCTCCCTTCACTTTAAAGCTCATTACATAAAAGTGTTAATCATAACGATTTGAAAAGCTACCTGAAGTTAATTATTTATACAAATTTTATCTATTTAATCGCAAATGAGTTGGAAAATGGAAAGGTGCCCAAATATTGTGCTGGGTTAATAACAGTTTGTCTCAGTCCGATAATGTGACTGTAATATTGGAAAAAGTAGTTTTCATCTGTTGGCTATTTTTGTATTCGACTACTACGTTTCGTTTTCAATAACGTGGTCTTATTTTTTAATATATTGAAAATGCATAATTATCCATCTTTATTTTGAAATTTCAAGTAACAGTAAAATCATTTAAAAATCTACTAGCATTAATTAATTTCGTCTACTATTCTTTGGATAATAATTATTGATTATTGAATCACATATTATGATGGAAAAACATTCATAGAATCGACCAAGAAGTGACTTCCTTTAAAAAGAACTGCTCAACATTGGGTACACGCTTGGGCGAGACGCATGATGTGGCTTCGTGGAAACTTATAGACGATTTTGTCGTCTGTAGAACCACAGGCTCCTGCGAGAGCGACCCAGTCTTCTATTTCAAACTTACAGTCGGGAATCTGACTCTTGGCGATGCCGTTGTCGTAGAGTGCCTTGGCGACGGTGCACTTGGAGAGGACGACGGCGACGGCCGGTAGAGCGCTCTCGGAGACCACCAGGGCCACCAGGCACAGTGCGAGCAAGCTGCGAGCCATTCTGCGCACACAAACACTTGCCATTAGCTTTTCGCCCTGAGGAAGGTCGGTGAAGGTCGGCCGAAATGTTAAGCGCCTGTGCCTAGATTGCGGCGTCTTCGGGGCAGCCCAGTAGTTACTAACGCTTGCCTTTATATGCTCTAGAGTGACTTCCTAAGTCTAATAGGTGTGTTTCGTTTTCCATTTCTTGCATCTTGCTGAGTACTGTTTATGACGTCTTATGACATTGTTTTCAAGCAAAGCAAGGGTCGGATCCTACCTCACGACAAATTAATGAAGTTCTAGTCCATTTTCTAAAAAGTACATAACCAAACGTTTTATAACGACTTTTAGGCCGAGGAAGGCAGCACTTGCTTTTACTTTGCACTGTCCTCCTAAGCCTAAACGAAGTCTGGTTTTGCCCCATCTTAGTCATGCGTGTAAGCACGAAGAGCGTCTCTTATTTAGTAGTTGAGCATTGCAAAAGAAATATTATATTCATTTGTTTAAATATACTAAAATGCTCATGGTCTTTGCGCTCCAAAATCAAATGCAAGTATATACTCGTATTTTGTAGTCAGTGGAATTGCTCGGCGGACAAATAAGAATTATATGCCTCATGCACTATTTTTCCTTTTGCCAATTACGCAGTAATACATCAACGAATTGTCACTGGCTTTAATATCCTGAGCCTAGATAAAGCATTCTTGTACAAACGTAATTTCTTGTTATGCTGAGGAATAAATAAGAATGTATTGTATACAGTTTGTTATTGTCTGTACTAAGTTGGCCCAACTGGATGATTTTTGGCAATTCGAAAGTAAAACAAAATTTACTTATGAAAGGATAACTACCAATAAGTGTAAGAAAAATATCATTCCAAGATTTGTTGGTTTTCTTCTTTCTCCGACTAAACTTGATGGTATCATTAATAATCATTAGTCAATTTGGAATATTCACAAAAGCAAATTGACACCCCGGGTTGTAATAATCATTTGACTATGACAAACACTTCGAATATGACGGAAACTGCAATTACATCTACGCCATCAACCCCATCGACGGGGAAGGACATTCACGCTGATTGCTATGAAAACGTGTTACCTGAATGAGAAGATCACCTGAGGAGGGAAGGTCGGGTACAGTTAGGAGCTCGGTTCGCTCGATCCTTTTATACTTGGAACTCTTGGATAGCGTGCGCGAATTTGCGAGCCTTCACAAAGGCGTGACGTTGCTGAATCTCCCTTCCCCCTTCACCCACTTTTAGGCCCACATCTAAGATATGCCACACCCAGACGCACCGTGCGTTTTTTCTCTCGAAGCCTTCCCTCTCTTCGTGCGATGAGTTTCAGTAAGATATCGCTCGTGGGATGCAATAGTGTCGCAACTAAAAAAAACTAATGGTGCTCCAACAGCACATACTTTTTTGCATTATTCCTAAATTTGCGGTTTTTGAACATTTAGAGAGGTCGAAGAAAATGAGACCCGCGGCATTTTTTATCATTCCTTCTTCTATCCACGAAAAAAAAATTGAAGAAAAAATGGAACAGTTTTTAGAGAAAAAATGTTATTTTTTAATTACCTATATTTTGCGTCAAATTATACGAAAAATACTTATATTTTCGAAATGTAGAACCTAACTATATGCGAAGATCCGTCTTTAACGAGCAGATATCATTGAGGAAAAAATATCTATCATGAATATTACAGTAACGAAGACGGCCAAAAAAATTCACGTTTATAAGACCATTTTTTTAAAACTGAGATTTCAACGAATATAAGTTCTATCCTGTTATATTAAATGTTCTTTGCGCTATCAGAGAACAAAGTTTGGTCAAAATATTCACTGCGATTTTCGAGAAATTTTTGAAAATGTTTTTTGAGGCTTCGTGTGAAGTACCCTCAAAAACAGAATTTACGTTTGAAACTCCCAAAGCCATGAATTCATTTAGATCGATTGGAGAATATAAATTTTGAAAAAAATTGACTATACGTTTCAGGCGCTAACGCTGACTACAGACAGGTGTTTGCCGGCATTCGATTTTTCGGTATCAAGGACCTCCAAAACATGGCCACCCGACATGTTAGAGGATTTTTTTCTAAATTTAGCAACAGGAGAATTCCACTTTTTCGTTACAAGGACCCAAAAATAAGAGTTTTTCTGCCGAAAATTCACCATTTTCTGGCGCACGATTACATAACTTTATCTTCTTACGAAGAACTTCGCAAGGCGAGAAAGTAAAAGTATCTTAAATATTGTAGTCGTAGTAAGACTCCAAAATTGTTCAAACTTTTGTAATTTTCGAAACTTCAGAGTTGACAGTGAAAATCGGGCATACGATCATTATACGTGTATTTCACTCTATTCTTAGATGATTTTTAAAGAAAAAATTGAGCAATTTTGGAAAAAAATTATGAAATCTTCCCAGGTGCTTCATATAAAGCACCCCCAAAATTTAAAGTTTTAAATTAAGTTTTTCAACATCGTAAAGCTTTGAGTCGGGCCTCATCGGTCGGGGAATATTCATTTTCGAAAAAAATCCTACAAATAGGTTAAGTGGTTTACAGGCGAACAAACGGATAGACGGACAGACAGCCGGATATTTTGGAAATCAATTTTCCGCAGCGTTACATAACTTTATCTATACTATACCAATATTACTTCGCAAATACGTACGTATACAACAATGTACAACTTGTTTTTCGGAAGCAGGGGACTCCAAATGTGTATTTCTTTTGAAATCTCGTTATCGTTATTTCGTAGCATTAGGACCTACATAAGTTTCTCTTCGCTAAATAAATTTCTCCGTATACGAGAAAGTAAAACTTTCTTTGAAAACTCTTCGTAGGTTGGCCACACTGAATATCGCGAATCGTATATACGTGTGTTCAATAATTAAGTTCAGAACAGAAACATATCGATTCAGCAATATCTAATGTAAGCATTTCTGAGATGGATGATAAGGAATTCTTGATGCACTTTGTTTGATATGTGAGTATATGGGGACCGACAAGATAAATGTTTTTAATGTTGTTATCTGAATATTGGTGAAGAGTACTGTGTAGAAACGATTTATAAATACAAATTCGAGGTATGAATTTATGTGTAGGTTATGTAAATAAATACTTATTTCCTGGCGTATAATTCGTAACATTTCCACGTAAAATATCTATTGAAAGGATGCATGAGGTCTTGAAAGCAGTTGCTTGATTTCTGTGATGTCAAGTGATAATTTGACTAGTCGTGCAGATACAGTTTCTGGTTCTCAATGTAAAAGTGATGGGTAAATAATTTAACACGAATAGGAGTGGCCCTTGCAAATGATGGGTTAAGTTTGACACGAGAATGAATTTTGTCCTTGTATGGTTTTGTTAATTTGTAAATATTTATTTTTAGCATTATATTTCGCATTTAATGAAAATAGTATTTTATTAATTTAGAAAAGGAATATAAATGGACATGATTCATTCTGCCTTAGAAAGCTTTGCTTATATTTAAATGCCTATTTTAGCAGTATATTTCGCATTTAATGAAAGTAGTGTTTTATTAACATGAAAAGTAAAATTACAGAAGCATAATTTAAAATGTCTCGGAAAATTATTAGAAAATAGGTTATATCTCTTACATTGAAAAATACGGTACACTTTCAATCTGAAATGTGATTTGGCTGGAATGTTATGGCGTAAAGCATATCAATATATGTCCTTTTTATCGAAGATTTACACATTCTAATAACAATGGAATTCACGATAGCATAACATTTTACTGAAATTATTAAAGTATTTAAAAGAATATAATGTCTATCTTGCATAAAAAATGAATACATCACAAGCCAATTTTAAATCTCTTTCTTTTGCATTTTTTAGGTGTCGTCGCTTGCGCATATGGATTGGCAAGTATTTCACGCCAGAGCGTCTGTGTCCCCATAAAAATTGGCCCTTCAGAATTTTTTCTCTTGCTGTTCTATTGCTTTTATTATGGGGGACTGGTTACAGTATTGTCGGGGATTATGTTGCTCCTAATTCAAGTCTTTTCATGCTTGGTTCTCTTTTTATTTTGTCGTACATTGGAGCAAGTATCATTACACTTGTTCACTTGCCAGCAATTTTAGGTATGATTCTCGTCGGTATGGCAATGCGCAATTTACATATCTTTCATATTGAAGATGATTACAAATCTGTTGAGAGAGTTCTAAGGTAAATAAGGTCTTAGTAATATTAACTAATATTAGTTGATTCTTTTAGCTAACTAAACAGTAGAAAACATGACTTTGTGTAATTTAATGTCATATGTTTTGCAAAGTACATTGAAATATCTTGATCATTAATATTTCAAACTTACACACTTTCTTTGCAACTGTAAAATTGTAAAATCAGATTCATTGACATCTAAGCAAGAATAACTAATCAAGAAATTTGTTTTAAAACATATTAAACCGTGACTTTATTACTAAAAAATTGCATGATGGAAAAATATTGCAAAACTCTTCCCTATTCACACTTTTCACTTTTCGCAAAACTGAAGAAGGAGTTTCCGAGGGTACTAAATGGAATCATTTTTTATCGTAAAAACACAAAAAGGTCATTGTATGTATGAAGTGTTATTGAAATGAAAATTGCACGTGCGTAGACGAGGTCATTTAGAAGAGAAGGCTTGCTCCTGTGTCGAATGACGTCACGGAAAGTGGCTGGCAGGAATGATTGATAAGTGATCCCCGATCATTACGTCATTAGTCCCGTAAGTGTAGTGCATATGTTTTTCTCGAGAGATGACGGTAATCTTCCCCCGTTGGATGGTGAGATCCGGCTCTGACCATTCGTTGGCTAGCGGGGTTTTCCCCTACCAGTTATCTCCCATCAGCGGGGCACCGCCCCATCCGGAACAAGCTCTAAGCTTCGGACCGGTCTCCCAGCATGTGTGGAAGTGAAGTGCATGTTAGTGTAAATGTGGGTAGAGGTCATGGAAGAGGGAGGAGAGATCGCGCTCTGTCCGTGGCCCGTTTGTAAGGGTACTGCTTCGGCGTTCGC